TATCACATCCCTTTAATCTCAGCACTTGGGATGCAGAGCCAGGCGGATCTCTGTGAGTTTGAGGCCAGCCTGGGCTACAGAGTGAGTTCCAGGACAGCCAGGGCTACACAGAGAAACCCTGTCTTGGAAGAAATCTCATGCTGGGGATGGTGGCATGGGCTGGGAAGCCCAGCTGCTTGGGAGGCTAAGATAAGGCCGCACTCCAGCTCACCTGCACATTCCACCACCACAGAGTGCTGCGGCTTCCTTCCCCCTGTCTGCAGGTGTGCTGGCAGGAAGTGCCTCACTCTCTGCCTTCAGATAGGACTGGGTTTTGCATGGTGTGTGTGAGCGCTCCTGCCTGCCTAGGTATCTCTTAGCATCACGTGCTATTGATGCCGTATGTGTTCCTCCAGTCTGAGTTGAATTCTTTCCTTAGTGCCTCTTACTTAGCTTTCCTATCTGGGGAGTCGGGCTCCAGTGAAAACTATTTTCTGGTCGAACAGGATGCCACCCCAGGGCCCTGCACATCTTGAGCAGGTCAGTGAAGCTGGAGACGCTGATGGAGACACAGGACCACTTCACTGCTCTCTCTGCAGGCCAAGGCTCTGCCCAGGGAACCCCCATCTTGGGACCAAGTATCCTAAGGTTGCCAGAGCAAAGTACCACAAACTAGGTGGTCTCGACAGTAAAAGTTTAATCTCACATTTCTCGAGAGCAGAAGTGTGAGATCCAGGAGGCGGCTCAGTTCCTTTTCTCCCTCCCTTTCCTCATTCCCGGGCATGGCTATCAATCCTTGGGATTTCTTGCCTTTCTCTAAGGGTCAATTCAATCTCCAATCTTCTCTAAGAATAAGAGTTTAACCTTTTTTTTTTTTTTTTTCTTCGAGTCAGGGTTTCTCTGTGTAGTTTTGGTGTCCTGGAGCTTGCTCTGTAGACCAGGCTGGCGAACTCACAGAGATCCCCCTGACTCTGCTTTCTGAGTGCTGGGATTAAAGGCGTGCGACACCACCGCCCGGCTCTAATGGTCGTCTAAACAGTGTGACCATAACATGAAACTGAAAGTAAATGGGATTAGTGAGAGCCTTTGCTACCAGCAGGGGGTATAGCTCAGTGGTAGAGCATTTGACTGCAGATCAAGAGGTCCCTGGTTCAAATCCAGGTGCCCCCTTACCCCCTCCCATAATAGGTGTGGGTCACTCTTTTGCGTATCAGGTACTATTTGTCTATTTGGGATGGAAAAAGTGCGGATAGTGAGGAAACAAGAGGGAAATTCTAAAGAGCTGAAGGAACACAATCAATAAATGGGTGACCACCAGAGGGAGCGATTGATCAGGCTGAAACTGGAAAAACAAAAAACACTGACCTAGGCATGTTTACTTCAAAGACTTGGCTGGAGAGAATAGAAATTAGAGCAGCTACCCTATGATGATGACCAGGGCTGGATTGGCCCTGGCCCCTTGACAGTCTGCCTCCCATGCAGAGGGGTTAATCCCATAACCTTGCAAGCTCGCTTCTTTCCCCACAGCTGACAAAAACAATGATCTTGATGTTTCTCCCAGTTGATCTGCACACAAAGCTCAAGTGCAAAGACCCCTTGACCTTGTGGGTTTGGAAGAGAGGACAGGAAATCCAGCTTAGATTTATGATGGTGTTATTCATAATAGCTGAAATACAGAAGCAACATGGGCTGCAAGGGATAAAGGGCAAACAGAATGTAGTGTATATATATATTTGACAGACTAATTCAAGTGTACAAAAGAAGGTACTGGGTATGGTGGTTTGAATGAGAATGGCCCCCATAGGCTCATATATTTGAATGCATGGTTCCCAGTTGGTGAACTGCTTAGGAAGGATTAGGAGGTGTGGCCTTGTTGGAGGAGGTGTATTACTGGGGGCAGGCTTTGAGGTTTCAAAAGCCCACACCAGGCCTAGTCTCTCTCTCTGCCTCCAACTTTTGAATAATGTGTAAGCTCTTAGCATGCTTTTAACCCTATAAGTGGCAGAGGCAGGAGATTCTCTGAGTTCAGAATTTGAGACCAGCATGGGCTACACATAGAGTTTCAGGACAGCCAGAGCTATAAATGAGACCCTATCTCACACAGACACACACAGACACAGACATACACACAACGTACACTCTTAGCTACTTCTCCAGCATCTTGCCTGCCTGTCTGGCTGCCATGTTCCTCACCCTGAAGGCTCAGGGACTCGCTCTCTGAAACAGTGAGCAGCACTCCTTGGTGGCCTCTGCATTAGCTCCTGCCTCCAGGTTCCTGCCCTGAGTTCCTTCCCTAACTACTATTGATGATAAACTGTTATGTAGACTTGAACTCCTGATCTTCCTGCTTCCTTCTCTCAAGTGCTGGGATTACAGGTGTGTGCTACCACTACCTGGCCTCTATGGTTACCTAGTGGCTAGCTTCGCCCTCTGATCTCCAGGCAAAGTTTTTCAGAACACAAAATATTACACAACAGACATTCAGATATATGCCACAGCAGGAGCATTATGCTAACTGAAAAAAAAATCTAGTCACATAATGACTAATGTGGGTACTGGGAAGACTCCCCAGTTAGTAAGGTGCACAAGCACTGGGACCCAAGTTCAAACATCAGCACCGACATTAAGAAAAAAAATAAAGCAAAATAAAAGCTAGGCTTGGGCCAATGAGATGGCTCAGTGGGTAAAGGTGCTTGCTGCTAAGCCTGATGACCTGAGTTGAATCCCTGGATGGTAGAAGGAGAGAACTGACTCCCATTAAGTTGTCTGGCAGCTTCCACATGTCTGTTGTGGCTGGTGTGCTCTCTCGATCTCTCTCTCTCTCTCTCTCTCTCTCACACTCACACACACACACACACACACACACACACACACACACACAGATAAATGAACAATCAAAAGGTGTACAGTACACACACACAAACTGTATGGTTCTATTTATATGAAGTAAAGTCATTAAAATGATGAGAAAGAAATGTGGCTTTGAGGGGCAGGGAAGGGGGAGAATGGTGAGTTACTGGTTAATAATGTCTCAGTTTTACAGGATGAGTTATGAAAAGAGATATATGATGATGATGGTAATGGCTACAGAACATTTTCTTTTCTTTTCTTTTCTTTTCTTTTTTTACAGCACAATGGGAGAGAATGCTGTTTATTGAAGGAGGGAGGAGGTCTTGAATACAGGCTTACAGCACAATGGGAGAATCCTGGAGGGCAGAAGTTCGCTACAGATGTTTTACAATCTTGCATCTAAGCTGTTAACGCCCATTATTCAGGATACATAGACAAGGAACTTCCCTTAAGCATTCAGAAGGGTGAAAACCAGGAGGGAATTAGCATAGGGAGGATATCAAGGTCACGGTCAGCAAGCAAGGCAACAGTTATCCAAAACAGGGGCCAGTGCCCTACAGGTCCCCCTTTTACTAATAAATGAGCTTCTGACTTAGGTTGCATGGGATGTCAGCAGGTCACCTTAGCCGTCATGGAGACGCCTGCCCAGGCCACACAGGCGCTCTGTCTTAGGTTGGTGAGTGCCCCTCCAGACATTACCCATCTCTGAATACTAATTATCATACAGGCTCAATCGTGTGTGAGCTGCAGAGTTAACTGCTGCCAAAGATCTCAAAGTGGCGCTGGGCTTGCAATCTGTGTGTCTGACACAGAAAAGACCAACAGAAGTCCTAACTCACCCACAGCCAGTAGGCTAAAGGCAACTGAGCCATTCCCTTCCTTAACGAGCCTTACTGCAAATTGGAGTCCTTGTAAGATGGTATCCCACAGGCAAATGGAACATGAGTTTATAAATTTATAATTTTCAAAGCCAATCGAAATGTATATAACTATTGAATTAAATTTATCATGCCCAATAGAATGAAACATTAATTAATTGTGGTAGCTACTTTTGCTGCCAGGGTCTCCACTGTGCTAGCTGTAGTAAGCAATTATGAAATGGTAATCCCAGAAACAGTAGCAGTGGTGGTCGCCTCTGCTATAACAGCAATAACAGCAGCAGCAATGTCAAATTCTTTTCTGGAGTGTGTGGGCATCCACTGACATAGATACAACTCCAGGAACACAAACCACCAAGGTCCATTTTTCTTGATCCCATCACGACTTAATCAGGCAGCTCTGCAAAAGAACAACTAAGAACCATAAAGAAAAAACAGACAGCTCACAAGGAACATAACTAATGGTCTTATAATGGCTACATTTAGGCTGATATATTTTTTTTTTTTTTGGTTTTTCGAGACAGGGTTTCTCTGTGTAGCTTTGTGATTTTCCTGGAGCTCACCTGGTAGCCCAGGCTGGCCTCTAACTCACAGAGATCCGCCTGGCTCTGCTTCCCAAGTGCTGGGATTAAAGGCATGCACTACCAACGCCCAGCTAGGCTGATAAATTTTAAGGTATCTTCAAAAGGGGCTAAATGAATTTCAGGAGGCCAATAAATATTGCACAGAGCCACTCCTGAAAAGCATGTATTACACCAGCTTGAAGAGGAATGTTCCTTGTATTCCTGATCTCTCTAAGACCTTTATCATGAAGGAGTGTTGGATTTTGTCAAAGGCTTTTTCAGCATCTAATGAGATGATCATGTGGTTTTTTTCTTTCAGTTTGTTTATATGGTATATTACATTGACAGATTTT